CTCCAAGGATTCATATTGCTCCAAGGCAACATAAGAAGCCCTGGGAGGCCATTGTGTGAAGCTGTGAAAGCGAAGCCTGGGTTGCAGCAAAGACCACAAGATATTAGAGCATGAGACATCAGCCAAGGAGAGCTGTATACAGGGAGTGGAACCAGCCTAAGAGAGAGATGTATGTTGCAGACAGAAAAGCTGGAGGGGTGAAGCTGTCTAAGCCCCTTGCAACTAAAATCCCAGGCACAGGATGTGGTGCTACAGGACTTCGTGCTTGCCCTGCCTTGTCTTGTTTCGTCCTGTATTTCCTCACTATGCCTCTTTTGGAATATTTCTTCTCTTTTGGAATGGGAATGTATATTCTGTGCATTGTATGTTGGAAGTATATAATTTGACTTTTTTATTTTATAGGGAATTAGAGTCACAAAAGAGCCTTCGGGCTTTTAAGTAGCATTGAAGACTATGAAAGACTATGGGAACTACTAAAATTGGACAAAATACAGTTTGCATTATGGTGTATCCATGAGCCTATGGGGGCCAAGGAGTAGAATGTGGTGATCTGTGAACGTTTAAGAGGTGAGATCTTGTTAGAGAAAGTATGTCACTGGGAGCTGCCTTTGGGAGTTCATAGCCTTACCCACTTCCAGTTAGCTTTCTTTACTTTGTGTTTGCAGTTGGAGGTATGATCTCTCAGCCTCCTGTAGCCATCTTTCCCTGCCATTACGTACTCCCTCTCTGGAACTGTAAGTCAAAATAAACTCTCCATAAGTCCTTGTTGGTCATGGTATTTTATCCCAGCAACAGAAAAGTAACCAATACAGTTATAAAACCTGCAAGACCCAAACAAGTGGAATGATCTCAGAGATCAAATCTGACCCCTCATTTCAAAGACTAAGGATTAAAGATTCAGTCTCAGAAAAGTCAAGAGCATCTAGGGTTAAACAGTAAATCACAGCCAAATCAGGAGCTAACCTCAGTGTCAGTTCCTAGTTACAGTTGCTCTTGGAAGGGAATGTCTAAGCTGCTTTTATTCAGCAATTTTCAGGAGATTTGCTCAATTTAACCTTGCCCAAGTAGTGTAGGAGGCACGGATGAAGAATCAGAAGGATGTTAGACGCCCTGTTGGGTAGTCCTTGGGGCTCCTCCTAACCCAGACACTGGTGCCTATCATTTCCATCATGTGGCATGTGCGGGCTTCTGCTCAGGCTGCTGTAACACCCATCAGCCTCTCTAAAAGATCCAGATCATTTAAAGTTGTCCTCAATAGAAAGGCACACCATGGCCTGTGAACAGAGAAAATGGCACTCCCTCCTGACAAATAGGTTGTCACAGTGTTCAAAGCTTTGGGAAAAGACTTTAAAAGCCCAGAAGACAAAGTATAAGAATGCATAGTACATTTTAAATAATAAATTTGGCAGACAATGAACTTTATTTGCTTTCTTTAGAATTGAGCTTGAAATCTGCACCTGACACAATACAATAAATATCGTTGAATGACTGACAATTCTTCATGAGAATATTTACTTCTTTATAATACCTTCTAGCATCACAAGGAATCAGAGTGGCTTCTATTTTGAAATTGTTGCCATATATTTAAAAATAAATGACAAAAGATCAATGCCAGTCTATTTGAAATACCTTATCAAATCAATATCTTTAATGGTCACAAGCACAAAATAATCTTCGTTATTTGGTGATAATGTCACTAAATTTGGGTGCTTGTTAATAGTGGGAGACCTCAGTTAAAACTTTCTCCAGGTCCCATTCTGCCACTGCTCAAATCCAATTCACCCATGAAGCATTCTTTTTTTATTTTCAGGTTATATTTGAGGGACATCTATTCCTTGAGAACATTTTTCAGATGTTATTCATTAAGGAAAAAGTAATCACAACCCTGGATAGAAATGACCACAGCCACAGCCCCACCCATCTTCAAATTACCCACTGACTCACACAGCTTCCTGGAGGTTCCTTAGAGGAAGATGGGAGAAGGCTTTTAAAAGTTGTAGGAGCTGGGTGTGGTGGTGCAAGCTTTTAGGTGAGGCAGGGGGATTGCAAGTTTGAGGCCAGTCTGGAGTGTCTGGTGAGACTCCCAAAGAACTAAACAAACCCGAAACTGTACAGTAGGGAACTGGGGAGGTGTTACAAGCAAAGTCAAGAGTGCCCTCTTGTGGAAATAAAAAAAGGTGATTCTCGCCCCCCTTCCATTCTCAACTGTGATTCATTCCCCACATAAAAACATCTTAGAGGAGACTTACAAATAGAAGACAGTACAGTTAGTCTTAGCCAAAGGTACAAAGTAATCATTCTAAGCAGATGGAATATTGACTTTTCCTCTCCCTGAGCTATAGGCTGATAGAAATCCTTGTATTCTGCTCAATGGAGGACACAGCAATGCCAATTGAGCGAAGCCAGTTGAAAAGATAAGGGAATCTCACTACACTGCCAGAGGCCCTCTTAAGGCAGCAGCTCCAGCTCGCAGATATCAGAACAAAACTAGGCGAGTGTAGCTGGGTTAGAAGGCTACAAAGGGAGAAGGACTGTAGCTCAGCAGAGTGCTTGCCTAGAAGCATAAGACTGATCCCCAGTACTAGGAGGGAAACAAAGGCGCCGGGGCAGCAAAGGGCTTATGCACCCAGGGCAAAAGGCCAGGAACAGAAGCCATGAGCAATGTAAGCCAAGTGTAACAAGAACAGCTGTGTCATAGCCCCACTGCTACACATGCCCACCCACTTACCTTCAGAAAAGTTTCCATTGCACAGATTGAAAAGACAGAAAATTAAACCAGTGCAGAGTATTGGAATAAACCCATTGTTCATTTGGCAATCTATTGTCCACATGGAACCGAGAAGTGGGCTGACTGCTAATTCTCAAGCGTGTCTTTGGGAACCCCCATGACAGCAGTTCCACCTAGAGAAACCAAGTCACTTATGGCCTTAACACCTCTCTGGAAAGCACTCCCCACTTGTGGAGAAAATGAGAGCTGGAAATGTCAACTCACGGTCCCTCTTTCAGATAGATAGGTATCTGCGCTTGTTTGGCCAAGTCAGTTTCCCTTGGTGAAAGGAGAAAGAAGGGATCCTTGGGGACCTGCGGTCAGTAAGGAGGGTTCCCTTCCCACACCCCTGCAGAGGCATGCTACTGCATCCAGTACAGCTTCTCTCCTTTCTGTGGCTTCCAGGAAAAACCACACTGCTGATAAGTCATCCTCTGGACCGTCCCAGATCTTACTTGTTCTTCTAACTTCATCTATCTAAAGATGTTCACAGGTTTTACAAATTTTTGTCAGTCCAAATATATTGACTATATTGTAGGGTCTGTTAGACACAAAGACAAATAAAGATAATACACGCTTTACTCAAGTTCAGCGTGGTGTAAGCTTGTACTGGCCTCAGATCTATTTTTGGAAGCCCTGAGGCATGAGCTGTCTCTATGAACTTTACTTGCTTCATTTGTTCAAGGAAGAAGGTGAACAGACAGCCCCTGAGCCCCTGGTCCTGCCTACAGCTAGTGCTGCCTGGAGAAGGGCTTCATTACTGCCTGTTTGGAACTCATAGCCACACTAACATGGCCCATGCAGAATACCATGAGCACTAGTGCTTCCAAGCCAGCCTCAGCACTCTTTAGGCCCAGGACCCATTTCTCTTCCCCATGGGAGAATAAAATTATTCACAGACTGTATGAATGAATTTACCAAATGAGAAGGGAAGATGATAAAGAAAATCATGAGTGCTACCAAAAGTCTATAGAATGACCTTTAAGAACAAACATACCACCACACAATCCTTCAGGCTCATGAGGTTGAGTTTTATTGAAAAGTTTATTTTTAAAAAGTTTTATTGCAGCTAAGGTAACTGGGTCAGAAAAACTTATCAACTGTGAGCAAAGCAGATCAGTATGGGCTTCCTAACATGGATGAAACATATGCTCATTAGAATATGGGCATGTACAACACTGGTTTTCAAATGAATTCCTGAGCTGAACTTTAATCTGAAGACATTCCCCAGTCAAAGTTCATTTGTGTGAAAATGAGCCAGGATGCTTTTCACTGGCCACCACACAGCTTTGGTTTCACGAAGGGCAGTCACTATCCCTGTAGCCATAGCCACTGGCTCCAGCTTCATTCACTTCTGGACAAACAGTAGATTTTTGTCTCTCCATAGGACTTTTCTTCTCTGAAAAGTAAGACTATGGCCTGCCATACAGTCTGGAGTTCAGAATCACAGATAGCTGAGTTTCAATCTTTAAGATATTTATAACATTTATATTTTAAATCAGTGCAATCTGGCTTTCAAGATTCCAGGACACTATTTTGCTTGGCCTAGAAAATAGAAATACTTGCTAAATGCTTTCTGAATTTTGATGAGGAAAGATTTATTCCGAGTGAAGATGGAATAACACTGGATTTGGCTAGGTAGCGAGTGCATACAGACATGGAAAATGTCATACAGATAGGTAAATACAGGACCATCCTGGAAAGCCCTCTAAGGCAAGGGAACAGGAACTGGGTACTTTTAATTTATTCCTTTGTCTTTGGTTTCTCACGATCTAGTCCAAGTTGGCCTTAAACTAGTAGCAATTTTCATGCCCCAGTCTCCTGAGTACCTGGATTACAGGTGTGTGCCACCATCCCAAGCTTAGAGCAAGGCTTTTTCATACTGCTTTCATGTCACTGACAGAATTTCTAAATTTTCAATTTTATTTCTTTTATATTTTTGATTCATTTATTTTTATGTGTATGACTGTGCATGTATGTAAGTATACTCACATTGTGCAATGCCTGCAGAGACCAGAAAATGGTGTCAGATCACCTAGAACTGGAGTTATGGATGATTATTAGCTGCCATATAGGTGCTGGGAATCTAACCCAGGACCTCTGCAAGAACAGCCAGTGCTCTTAATCACTGAGCCAACTCTCCAGCCCTACTGACATATCTTTTAATCAACTAACAATAGCTTAAAATTTTCTATATGTATTCTTCTTTTTCTCTTCTTTTTTGGCAATAGAGTAGATTTTAAATTGTGAAGAGGGGCTGGGAAGATGGAGAAAGTGCTTGCTACACAAGCATGACTACCTGAGTTAGGCTCCCTGGAACCTAGGTGAGAAAAGCTGGGCAGAGCAGCATACATCTGTAAACTGAACACTGGTGGGGATTAGAGGGATGGGAGGTGGAGACAGCCAGATCCTGGGGCTCATTGGTCAGCCAGTCTAGTTGAGATGGTGAGTTCCAGGTTCAGTAAGAGTCATGTCTCAAAATATAATATGGGAAGTGACTGAGGACAACATTATGATGTCAGTCTCTGACCGTCACACACTCCAGCTTGGGCCAGTGCATAGAATACACATATGCATACAACATACACACCAAAACAATTGCAATAAGTAAAAAAATATGATTATAATGACATTTTCACAAATCAACCATTTTTTTCAAAGACTTAAAAATAGACACTAGTTGAGACACTAGCTTGTTAGTCACAATTAAACATAAGATTGCCAATGTTTCTAATCCTAACTAGAGCGCACTGGGAATCTTCAAAGTCACCATTTTCTTACATGTAAAAATACAAATGATCTAGGAAAGGAAAACAAATGTTTTAGAGAAATTAAACATTTTTTTCTGCAGGACTCAACAGTATCTATCCCAAGTCTGGCTTTCACTGGTATTTCCTCATTAAACTGATAATTTCATTATACATTCTCCAGGGGGCATCCAAACCCCAGAGAAAATCCAAATGTTCCCACTCAGGAATACGCTTGTGGTACACCAAATTAGGGATCTGAGTCAGTAAGATATTGATGTCATTGGCGTCTGCCAGTGAGTCCTGATCCCCGCTCCACAATGCAGTGGGTACAGGCATGTCTTTTACGTTGTACATGGGAGGGTAACTCTACAATAAAAAAGAACCATAGAAAGTTTAGTTGTGATTGTTATCAAAATTTTTTAAATTGCAATAAATGCAATCACCCTTTTAATACAAATATATTAAGAAGTCTGACTTGAGACTAAGAAACCAAGTTTTATGAATCACTTTCAGCATGTTTTGTAGCCATTTCAAGGAAAGAATGTGAGTGGGGAGCTGCTCCCCTCACAGGAGACTGCACTGGTAAGGCCCATCCAATCCTCAATGAGTGGACACTGTTATCCACAAATGTGGATGCCAGGCAGTAGACCAGCTGGGCAGTAGGGATTTTGGGGTCAGATCTTCAAGCTTTCTCCCCCTGGGTGCAAGAAAGCCCTAGAAATCCTCTAAGCCTCAGTTTCCTCATCTGTAAGCCAAAGATAGCTATGCTGATATCACAGGGATATTGTGAGAATTAAGAAAGACATTGAGTACCTCACAGCAGCATACTCAGTGCTCAAAAACTGGAAATTGTGTTTGTACAGAGAAGACAAGGCTTACGCCATATAATATGGCCAAGGCCTCACTGCCAGCAAGCAGGCATCAGACCCAGAACTCCCTGATTCTAAAATGTGTGTTTATGACCACTCTGAGCCATACACAGCCAGAGAAAGGACATGGAGAGGAGACCCAGTCAATAATACCAATGGCAGACCTGGAAGGTTCTGGAGTCAGCCGAGGGAAAACATCCTGCGTAGGCAACTCTGCCAAGAACACCCCCAGCAGCTGAGTCCAGCTGAGTTCTGGAAACCTAGGCTGGCTTCCTTGCTGGGTTTTCAGAGCCCATTTTAATTAAAAGACTGAAAGCTTTACCTGGTTGTAATGAAAATAATTCTTATCACTGCTTCCCCAGTCAAAGGCTTGGAACGTATGGTGTTTAACAACCTTAAAAAAGAGAAAAGAAAAAAGCGAAAAAGAAAGTCTCAGATAATATCACAGGCTGCTAGAGTCAACCAGGTTCTCAGAAATCAGTATTATACCGAAATCCAGCTTTACCCTTCATTTCCAAATCACTTCTTAAAATAAAGATGCGCTCTGCTGTCCTTTACTACGTGACTCAATTTCTGACTGAACGAGTGGGAAAATGGCACTTCTGCAGGACTCCAGAAGGGAGCTACACAACAATCACACTGGACCCAGTTACTCCTATGAGATGAACTTCATCTGCATGAACATTTTCCACTAAAATTTGTATCTTAAGCTTTTTCAAAGAGTTAGTAATTTTTTTCTTTTTGAAATAATATTTCATTGATTTGTTGAGAATTTCATACATCATTTGATTTTATATTCAAACCCCTCCCTATCTCCTCCCTGAGTCACACCACCTGACCTTCCTCTCCCCTTTATGTCCTCTATTTAAGGAGTTAGTAATTTTCTTAGAAACGCTCATGCATAATGACATTTCAGGCAATGACTATGTATGACAGTTCCACAAGACTGTATCACCAAGTGACATCATAACCATTATAGTTTGAGTAAGTATGGTTTATGATGCTCACCCAATGATGAAATTACTTACTGACACATTTCCCAAAGCGCATGTCTGACTGTACATGTATATGATTATGTTTTCTATCTCTCCTACTTATCTAGTTATATTATTTGTTCATATTTTCATGTGTATACATGTGTACGTGTGCCAGTGAGCATGCATGTGTTTTTATGGGGAGGCCAGCGGTTGATGCTGAATGTCTTCCTCAATCTCTCTCCACTTTAGTTTTTGGGTCTTTCTGAACCTGGAACTCACTGACTGGCTAGACTGGGTGGACCACAAGCCCCAGGGATCTTTGTGTATCCACTTCCCCAGTGCTGGGATTGTAGGTGCACTCTGCTGAACACAGATTTTTTTTTTTTACGTAGAAGCCAGAAATGGAACTCAAGTTCTCATATTTGCAGAGCAGGCACTTTTCCAACTGAGCTGTCTGCCCATCCTTACTTACTCATATTTTCTTGATTTTATTGAATACTTTTTCTTGGGATCTAATATAGAGATACTAAACTCTTTATGGAAACAGTTCTAACTAGTTAGGGATGCTTTGGCTATGAAATGATACTGAATATGAAATTTAAATGTATACATATTCAGAAGAATATGATATAAAGATATTAACAAAAACTCATTTACTTGTAAACTTTCAAATAATACAAATTTGCATTTCCTCTACACCTACAAATTAAAATGAATTAAACCCAAAGTTGGCAAGCCAAAAGAATTGGAAACTCTACGTTTTGGCCACATGGTGGAGCCTGGCTAAAACAAAAAATTACCCAGACATTCTTTCTCAGAAACACTTTTGTACAGTTTCAGTTCTCAGTCATGTAACACTGCCAGTTGATGTAACAAAATACAACATGAGAGCAGATACACCAGGGAACTGAACATCATAGAAATGTTTAGCATCCAATTTTGCCATTGAAAACGACAAATATTAAATACTTGTAGCATATTTAACACATGGATTTACAGAACTTGTGAGTACATCCCTTCCCTATCTCTAACTGCCAGTGGCCCCACTGCAGCCTATCTGCCCTGCCATGCAGACCTCAGTTTACCACTTCCTCTCATGTGTATAAAGCCCCAAGAATGCGCATGGAATACAGGAAAATCCTGCCTGTCATGCACAGAATCCCTTAATTAGCACTTCAAGTTGCCCACACTGTTTTAAAAAAAAAAAATCAAATGAATTTTTTAAACAAAAAGCACTAAGTTTCAAACAGTAGAGAACAGAAGAATGACCTGAGGTACTTATTATTAGGCAAGTCCCAGAGACACATACTTGGAATTCAGATTCTAGACAGATCTCGGATAGGCCCGGGAATCTATATTTGTACCAGCATCCTAAGTAGTAGTGACTCATACTGGAAAGCTGTGTGAGGACACACCTTCTTCCAACAGGAACAAGTAACTGGGCTGTGGGTGGGCTGGGGAGGGGATAGTGACAATAGGTTTGGCGTGGGAGATGGTTCATCTTAATTGTCAGGTTTGGTTTAGGGGGGTTTATGGTTAATATTTACTGCATTGTCCACCTGACTTGATTTAGAATTAACTAGGAGATACTTCCGGGAATGTATATGAGGGCATTTCCAAAGAGGATTAACTGAGGATGAAAGATTCACTCTAGATGTGGATGGTAGCATCCCATGGACTGGGATCCTGGACTGAATAAAAATGTAAAATGGAGTGAGCAAGCTGAGCATGAGCATTCCTCTCTTTCTGCTTCCTGAGCCAAACTGACAGCAGGCTCCACAGTGGTCTCAAGAGACCAGAGGGAGCACAGTAAGAGAGGACTAGAAAACTGCTGCACAAAGCAGCTTGTGTAGTGACAGAAGGAAGTCACAGTGAGCAGAAGGGCAAAGGGCACAGTGCCTCCTGCACTGAGTCTGGGCTTTGGAAATGCTCAGGAGGCACATTGCATTGTGGTTAGAGCCTAAAACCACAAGGACGCAAGTGGGCCAGAAAGCAGTGCTGTGGCTGTCAGCCTGCAGCCTTTGACCTTGGCCAGATGCTTGATAAAAGGGGCTGGAATGAAAGCAGATGCTTTGCTTACAGCCAGTTCAGTTGCTATACCCTACCTAGTACCCAGTGGAGGCCTGGGAAACAGAGGAAGACGCAAGACCATTCTGTGATGATGAAATAGCATGGTTTCAGCATGCCCAAGGGCCCCTGAAAAGCCAAGTCCCAGTGCTTACTTGTGCTTTGCTGAGGCATTCAGGCATCTCTAGGAATGCACTAACTGCTGAGGTAACAGAAATGGGCCTTTAGAGACATGTTCATTAGATAGAGAGGTAAAATGTTTACGTGTGCAGGGGCATTTTGGTATCAGAGCATATAAAAAAACAAATGATTATAAACAGAAATGCACTTGAGAAAACAGCAGGGACCTGAAAGGTGAGTATTTATGAATTTGAGTGTTTTTCAAGGTCTAGAGCATTGTTTAAAGTGTGTCCTGCTAGCATGTCATGAACAACTTGCGTTCTGGAACTCCCGTTCTAAGCTGCAGCAAGCTCTGCTGTTTAATTAGTCAGTCAGCTTTCTTGGTGCTACAATAACCTAAAAGCCTCAGGCCAAGACCTGGCTCCTTAAAGAGAAGCCCAAGGAGCCTAGAGAGATAATTCAGCTATTAAGAGCACTGACTGCTCTCGCAGAGGACCCAGCATCCACATGGAGGCTCACAAGCCTCCCTAACTCAGTTCCAGAGTATCTGATGTGCTCTTCTGACCTCCATGGGCATTGCATGACATGGGTGTCCTTATATGCATGCTTGCAAAACACACACATAAAATAAAAATAAATAAATTGAAAAAATGTTCTGAAAAAAAAAAAAGAGAACCTTGAAGGAAGGCAGGTCACATCAAGCATTTAATAGCACACTTTGACAGACAGGCTCTGTGGAAGGAAACAAAGTTATCAGTGACACCAGATCAGTGACTTCCAAACCTGGTTGGGTGGAAGAATCTGATAGGCAGATTTTTAAAGAAACAGATCCTTAGGAATAAAAAGGACTAAACTACTGATAAACTCAATGCGGTTAATTTCAAAATAATTATGTTGAGAAAATTAACCTGACAAAACCAAACAAATATATACTATATGACTCTACTTATGCAAACTCTAGAAAATACAAAGCAAATTACAGTGGCAGAAAGGAGATCAGTTGTTGCGGGGGGTGGGGGGGTACTACTCAAGGCCATGAGGGAACCTTTGGAGGTGGCATGTGTGTTCCTATTGTACTTAAGACAATAGTTTTTCAGGTACATTCTTATGCCAGAATGTATTGGCCTGTACAATGTAAATGCCACTATGTCACTTATACCTCGACAAAGAGGCAAAATTTAAAAATTAAAAAAAAAAAAAAAATACAGATTTTCCAGTCCAAATGAATTACAGTCTTTGGGGACAGAGTAGTCTTTGTTTTTATTTTTTCAAGTTTTTTGTTATTGTCATATGAGTATATAATGTGTTGGGTGGCACACACATGGTGTGACATGACTGTGGATATCAGAAGACAACTTTGTGGATTCGGTTCTCTACTTTTATATGGGTTCTGGGGATCAGATTCTGGTTGCCTGGCTTGCGCATCAATACTTTACCAGCTGAGCCATCTGACTGACCCATAATCTTCATTTCTGACAGCCTGTGTTTATAGGCACTTCTGCTATTTTCCCATTGCTATTTTAAGCATCAGCTTATAAAAAAGTGGAATTTTAAAGGAATGCAGTGGTTTTGATGCAAGCAGTGCATGTCCAATACTTGGAAAGTATCCAAGATATCTCTATACATCTTGGTTTGAAGCTTAAACAGTAAACTATTTCATATTTAAGATAGGTTAGCTGGAAAAAGAAAGAGTTCTAAAAAATATGCCCTGAGATGGAAATACATCACTCCAAGATGGTCATATGGAAAAAGGAAATCGAGTTGTAAGTAGTTAGTGGGAGAAGGGTAATCCACTTCTATCCTAACTGTTCTACCTATAACTGCTCCTTTTTGATGTGCAGCAGGGGGCAGAAAGAAGATGGAGACACTTCATCTCTCTGAATACGCATTTACTATCTCTGTGGGGGTTACTAGAACAATTTTACTTTCATTTTAAGATAATTTTCCTGCATGTGAACTAAGTTTTCTACATTGGGCATATATTACTTATAAACTAAAATGATCAGAATTCTATTTTAAAACTCAGTAGCTCCCATTATTGCACATGATTTCTTGGGTTCTGGTTTATCCACTGATGGTCCAGGCGCTTGTGTTCATAAGTTACTGCTGAAATGGCAGCTTCGATCACCAGCAAATCATATTTTATGAAACAAGACAGAAATAAAATAAATCTGGGACACACAAAAAAAATAGGTGGAGGGGAGGAAGGGAAGAGGAAAAGGACGAAGGGAGGGATATAGAAATCTGAGCTGGAAATCGAGGAGAAAGAAGGGGAAGGAAGGAAAAAGAAAATTTCAACCCTGACAACTGCCTGGTGAACCCATGACCAACACGGTGTACGTCATGGAAAGCTACAAAAGCAATCCAAATGCAGTGGCAAGGAACCACGTCTATGGGAACGAAACCAGATCAGGCCTTTTGTCTGTTAGGGAAAGATGTGCAGAAATGTGTTCCAGGAATATAAGGTTTTTCCAGCCAGACTTTACATGAGCCCCACTGTACCCCAGACATGCCTACCTGACCCCAGTGCAACATGTTTTGCACAGAAGTTCCTGCAGGACAGTGTGTTGCATACACATCGACTCTAGACTGCAAGATAAATATGAATTAGAGAATGGAAATGGCATTAAAGTGATATTAATAAACACATTTCCCCTTGGAAAAGCAAAAACTTATAAAGCCATAATCTCAAATATATGAGATCAGAACAGAAACACACCTGACTATGAATACAACCAATAAAGATACCCACATACACAGAATCCCTGTGAGGGAAACGCAGCTGTGGACTAGGTAAGTGCAAGGCTATTCAGGCTGCAACTGCAGGGTAATCTTTATGTTCTTCATATTTCCTGAATTTCCAAAATTTTAAAGATCATGTCTTTTTTCAGTCACGGAAGAGGAGGGGCAGACTCTAGTATTTTCAATTTGGAAACAATTAGGGGAGAATAGGCTCTCACTAGGTAAGTCAGACTTTCCCTGAACTCAAGATCTTCCTGCCTCAGCCCAGCAAGTAACTGGAGTTACAAGCATGCACCACCATGCTTGGCTTTACTCCAGAATTTAAAAAAAAAAAAAACTATTTTCAAAATTCAGCACTCTAAGATACAAATATGAATGTGTATAGAAACACAAACACAGCACATTGCAAGCCAAGGATTTATACTTTATAACAAAAATAAATATAGATGCTCATATGCACATAGCATATATCTATGTGTATGTGTGTGTGTATATATATATATATATGTAACTCAACAGTCCAGATTTAAACATGCATAGCATTTTTTAAAAGAAACACATTATTAGAATAAATATTATATAAATATTATGACTTGTGACAGATCCTCATATTGAAGTTTCCATGTATGTTCTGTGGAAGATGCTGACAAGAGCCAGCTGAGGGCAGCAGCAGATGGGGAGGCAAGCACGTGTTAACGCTGTTCCTGTGTCTCTTAAACGAAGACCTTAGAGTTCAGATGAGCCGTCTCTGCATCTCTCACACAAATAAGCACATCCACAAATAAGAACACTGAAAGTTTAAATCAAGTCTCAGTGTCAATATACATACCATATTTAAATTCCTCTCATTAAAGCCACATAAAAGAAAAAAGATATTTCCACAAAGCTCCTTCATAACGACATGGGTACAAATGTGAGTACTCAACCACTTCAGAACTGCATTCTCAGGAAAAAACTGTTTGTGTCCAAACATGTCCTACAAAATAAAGAAACCCAAGATCATGTCAGCATTTCACTCTAGTGGGAGGGCCTCTGTGGCCCACTGCACAAACACAGACATGGAAAATGTCTCCACAAGTGGCTACCAGCCAACATTCAAACCAAGAAATCTGTGCATGCTGAAATAGCAGCTTCAGATTGGAGACATGTACTTAAATCCCCCAAATGAAAACAGAGAGGCAGAAAATAAAATAGATTTATAGCATACTATTACAAAGGGAAATGGCCTTGACCATTTGTCCTAGGGCCACGTCCAGTTTTCTTGTCTTTGATGGAGTGAATCAGTGGGGACTTCTGAGAAGCAATTGAGACATGCTCACTATGTGTGTATCCATCTAATTAATATGGACCTAATCCAGCCCCTTGCTTGCTGTCTATTGCTTATTTGTTTGTTTGTTTGCTTTGAGACAGGGTCTTGCTATGTAGCTCAAGCTGGCCTCAAATTTGTGGGATTTCTGCTGCCTCAGTCTCCTGAGGACTGGGATTATAGGCATGAGTCGTTATGTGTGACTATTGCTTATTAAGAAATATTTTTACAGGGCTGGAGAGATAGCTCAGCAGTAAAGAACACTTGTTTTTCCAGATGACTTGTTTTTCCAAGGTCAATTCTCAGCATCCACATGGTGGCTAACAACCATCAGTAACTCCAGTTCCAGAGGATCTGACACCCTCTTCTGGCCTGTGTGGGAAATTGCACACACAGTGCACTTACATACATGCAGGCAAAACACTCATATACGTAAAATAAAAATAATAAATATCTTTAAAAAAAGAAAGATTTTTACTGTGTTAAAATACATAAAACTAATGATATATATCATTATTGTTTGAAAATTCATATATGCATTCAGTGTGTTTTGATCAAGTCCACCTCCCATCCTCACCGCTATTCCTTCCCAGCTTCATATTTTTTTTTTTTTTTTGTCTTTTTATTCACTGAGTCCACTCAGCACTGCCAATACGTTTATGGGCATAGGGCCTGGAACCTGGGTGGCCTCTCAGGAGCCACATCCTTTAGGAAAATGACCCTCCCTCAGTTCAGTGACAAGCACATTCACACTTATGTAATTATTAGAACTGTCAATCTTTACAACTCTTTCATTTGTACCCATTCAACATTTAATTATTCCTCACTTCCCCAGGCCCCAGCACCACATGTGGTTTTGCAAATTTTACTGGAACACAGCCACAGTGTCTGTTTTTGAGTTATCCCTGGTTGCTTTCACTATGCAACAGCACGCAAGAAAAAAAACACAGCAGAAACCATGTGGCCCACAAGGCCAAATACAGTTACTGTCTCGCTTTTTACAAAAGAAGCTTACCAATCCCTAGTCTACACTGTCCTTAACCAATAGTCACTGAATATGTGCTCAAGTATTATCAGGATAATCATTATGCTCTTTTTTAAAAAATGTATTATTTATTTATTTTTGCCATTATTATTTTATGTGTACAAGTGTTTTGCTTGCATGTGTGTAAATGCACCCATGCATGCAATGCCTGTGGAGGCCAGAAGAGGGCATTGGATCCCCCATGAACTGAAGTTACAGATAGTTGTCAGCTGCCATATGGGTGTTGGGAATCAAACCTGGGGCCTCTGCAAGAGCAGCCAGTATTCTTAAATCACCAAGCCATTCTCCAGCCCCACATTCTTTATTTTTAAAGATTTATTTTTATGTGTATGAGTATTTTCTCTGCATGTATGTAAATGTATCACATGCATTCAGTGCCCCTGGAGGCCAGAAGAGGGTGTTGCATCCCCTGGAACTGGAGTTACAGTCAGTTGTTAGTGGCCATGTGGATGCTGGGAACTCCAGCTGAATCCTTTGCAAGAGCAGCAAGTGATCTTAATGGCAGAACCATCTCTTCAAACCCCATACAGTTTCAAGGCAGATCATTATGTACCGTACAATAGGAAATGAGTCTTCCTTTTATGGAACTCACAACTGTTTCCTTATACTCTTGATCACATCCACCAGCTCTAGGGACAAGCGAGAATAGAAAACTCAGATATCTGCAGAGGAAATTTTACAAATGATGTTCCTCTTAAAAAGCAGATGTTTAAAGCCTCACCTTCTAGTATTTCAGAATGACCTTATTTAGAGTTGGGTCTTTTCAGAGGAATCAAGTGAAAAGAGATCAACTCTGTAGACCCTTGTGTGATCTGATAGGTGCCCCTATAAAAAGGGGAAATTTAGACATAAAGTCATGCATGCAAAGAGGAAATTTTACAAATGATGTTCCTCTTAAAAAGCAGATGTTTAAAGCCTCACCTTCTAGTATTTCAGAATGACCTTATTTAGAGTTGGGTCTTTTCAGAGGAATCAAGTGAAAAGAGATCAACTCTGTAGACCCTTCTGTGATCTGATAGGTGCCCCTATAAAAAGGGGAAATTTAGACATAAAGTCATGCATACAAAGAAAACACCAGCTGAAGATTGAGGCAGAGATTGGGAGGAAGTTTCCTCAAGCCGTGAAAGGCCAATGACCACTAGCAAACCACCAGTAGTGACTAGGCAGGCAACACATCTGGCTCTACAGCAAACTAATATAGGGAAGCATGTGAATGCAAATAAATAAAGCTGTACTGCAACACGTTTCCCTGCCTCTGAGTTGATATAGAGAGTAGCAAGAACCTTGGTAAAACTAAAAGTTTATGCTCAGCACAAGTGCTACATGTAAGTAGGACTTGTTCTGGCCTATCACTAAACCATAGAATGGTGAAGCGTAGCTTCCTTTTTTCATCCCCTTTAAAAGAAAATCAGCAGAACTGCAATGTAAATATCACTGTAGTTTAAATTTATGTCTTTAAATTATTATTAAATTTATAATCAGTCTTCTTTTCAAAAACAAATCAGTACTGGGGCTGGAGAGATGGCTCAGTGGTGAAGAGCACTGGCTGCTCTTGTAGAGGACCCAGGCTTGGTTCCCATCACCCACATGGTAACTACACCATTTGTAACTCCAGTTCTGGATCTGATGCCCTCTGACCTCCGTGGGCATGGCACAACATCGGCGCACCTACCTACATGCAAGCAATATGCTCATACAATAAAAAATAAAATAAATAATAAATAAAATATTTCTAAAAAATCAATACTAAAAACAGACATCAGGTCTCCCTAAATGTCCTTCTCTAGAACAACCACACAAGAATTTGCTGAGGACCAGAAAATGAATTCCACATGGGGAGAAGGTCACAAGTCAGTTCTTTAACAGCTCCTGGTTAGTATCTACAAATTGGTAATCTCTAACAACTGCATAGATTTTTGAAGTTCTCTACAGAACACAAGTTTACAGGATGATATATCACTGGTCTAAAGTGCAATCTGACTTTCCTTTGGGCTGATGAAGGATTTGAAGTTAACATAGTACTTCAGAATTATGATCCAACTAGCATTGTGGCAAACACTGACAGCCACACCCATATATGCAGTATATACAAACAAAGGAAGATTTTCCTTAGACATTTGTAGGCCTGAACATAGTAACTTTGAGACATTTACAATGCATACTTTTTATTTGTAAAGGATTAGATCAGAATACTTTAGTTCCACAAAAGTAACCTGTACTTTTCAGAGCAACTCTTTCAAAGATTTTAGGAATATTTATTCATTCATTTTTTCCACTTTCTCAGTGTATCCCAGGAAACACTATAGTCTGAAATAGTGGTTCCCAATTGCCAGGCCCATAGTATTTCTCAGAAATCACAGACAATGTTTTGTGAAAACATAGATTCCTGTTCCTACTCCAGATTTCACAAAACTGTTTTCAAAGTGGGATGGGAGGAGGTGTGGGCTTCATAGTTTACAAAGTTACTGATTTATAATCTCTAAGGAATAGTTAAATTAAAAACATAGTTTCAAAGCTTTTAAATTCAATCTCCAAGGATTAAATTAAAAGCATGCATTCCTATGACAGCTGTTGCACTCTCCTGTACCCCTTGTGGGTATTCCCCTAAAAGGGCAAAAGGATGCAGCAACAGCACATTAACCACAACCTGAATGTCTCTCACAGTTGTCTAGCTAATTAGATATCAGTCCTTATAACCAAAAGCTTACTATGCAGCCATTAACAAGAAAATCAATTATCAGGGTAGCTCTTCAAGAGCAAATATACGATCTGCAGAACCAGCTATAGAGTTGGATACATCTGCATTAAAACGAAGCAATATATTTCATCTCTCTTGGTACATCTCTATGTGTGTGTAAATTCATACATCAGGTCTAAAAGGAAAGACCCCAAACTGAGCAGTGTGCTTAATTCTAAGGATGGCTTAAGGGAGGAGATAAAACAGTTGAGAAGTATTTCTATTACTGTTTGTAGTGCAAATCAATTATTTTATTAATGAAGACATTAAACACAAAGTTTTATCTGCATATTTATTCGTGCAATGAGTTCTTACCATAGGAGTCTGGCTAGATAACTCTAATTCTTTAAAATCAAAAACTTTCTAGGGTAGCAGTTAAGAAGACAATAAAATATAATAACATTACAGCTCTCCTATTTTATATTTGGTGTCAGGTTTTTAAATCAGTCTATATTTCCCATGAAAGACTTTGAAATGGCCTGCAAGCTATGTTATAACTAATTTTAAGTAGGGTTATGAGTCACTTAAAAGGAGGAATAAAAAGTAAGTCCTCAAGCAAGTCCATCACTGTGCAACTGTCACAGAGTGTATCCTTACACATATGCTATTGGGTCATTCACTTGACGTGGCCTCTTGATGCGGTCAAGCGATGTGAACATGAGATGTGGGAAGCTGCTGCTGGTACTGCACCTCATATTCCTTTAGAATACGCTTTTTCTAAGAGTTGAAGGAAGATATGTGAAAATAATTATTAAAAGTATAGTAAATACATAAACAAGGGACAATTATTAAGTGTTAAGCTGTTCTATTCTCCTTTTTATTGTTATGATAAGACACTCTGACCAAAAGCAACTTAGGGGAGGAAGAGTTTATTTGGCCTATACTTCCAGGTCACAGTCCATCACTGAGAGAAGCCAGGGCAGAAACCCAAAGCAGGAACCTGAAAGCAGGAATCATGGAGGAACACTGCTAGTTGGTGTGCTTGCAAGCAGATTAGGTAGCTTTCTTATACAGGCCAGGACCAAATGCGAAGGGGATGGAACCACCCACGGTAGGCTGGGCCTTCCTGTATCAATGAATAATCAGGACAGTCTGCCACAGGCATGCCCACAGGCCAATCTGATTTACAAAATTCCTCAGTCAAGACTTTCTTCCCAGATGACTCTAGGCCGTGTCAAATTGACAGCTGAAGCTAACTGTGACATACATACTATGCATAATTTTATGCCTTATGCTTTTGTATGACTATCAGTCACAGTAGATTTGTATAAACTAACATCACCACAGACATGTGAATTGTAGGTTTAAATGTGATACCACTAGTTGATAGGAAGTTTTCAGCTCTACTATAATCTGATGAGACCACAATCCAGTATATGATCCCTCATTGACAAAAACCTGTTATAAAGCACATGACCGTATATATTGCTGAACTGGATTTTGTATATATCTGTGTGTAAATATATAAAATCTATAATGCAGGAATAATGGACCATTTGGCTCCAATGGGCTTCTTCTTACAAGTGCTGTTTCCTCTTTGAATACAGCTTAGAGCTGTACAGCTTTAGGGCTAAGTACTGCTATGTTTCAGGGTCATATGATAAAAAATAGTAAACTAATGTCTTAGATCATATTCCATGTGATTAGGAAAAAGACAGGAATAGCACATTTCTAGCCTCCCATCTCCTGCCTACTCCTGTGCACCTGCTTGCCTTGTGAACAAAAAGCAACTCTGAGGATGTCTGAGTTACTTTTATGCAGACTTTCTTGCGTCCTTTTGCATGGTGGGTAGAGGAATGGACTAACACTTTAACTATGAATACATGTGCTGCATGCACAGTTAATAATATGGTTCCCTGGGCTCCCTGGCATGGGAAGGAAAGGTGAAGACAAGCTACTCAGTGCTCCAGGAATAGCGCCCACAGAGGACATCACAGATTATTCTCAGATGACTGATTATTCAGCTCAGAAGAGGACATTTGTGGAGAATGGAGAGAGGTTAGAGAACACAAGTACCTCAAGGAGAAGATCTGGCAACCGTCCTAATTTGGCCAGAGGGCTCGAAGCAAAATCAAGCGACAACACAGGAGCCATAGCGAAAAACATTTTAATCTTCTTGGCCAGCTCAGGAATCTGTGAAAATGCTATAAAACCTGTGGGGCAAAAGAAAGTCGGAAGAATTATATTTTCTAAGACATCCTTCTCAGAAAACACAAGAAAGGTCATCCAGAATGCTCTACAGGGGAAGTCCAAGAACCACCAAGCAACACCATCCTTGGAGGTTAAACACTTGGAAAAGTTCTTCACACAAACATTGAATTTTGGTTACACTAGTAAACAAAGTATTTGCTAAGTGCTTGTTCTTTTAAAAAAATATTTATTTTTGGTGGTGCTAGGGATTAAACCATAGACGTTGTACATGCTACGCAAGCATGCTACCACTGAGCTGCAGCCCCAGCCTGGTACATAACATTTAAAGCATATTTTATTATTGCCTTTTAAAGATTTCTAACCTTAGAAAACAGCCTTTTTTCTACCCTTTCACATCCCTATATTGCTTAACTTGGAAAATACATAACAGGATGTAGTCACATTAATTCTTTCAATTTTAAGATATTTAACAATTTAAGCTAAAGTCTGAATTTCTAGGGGCTGGAGAGATGGCTCAGTGGTAGGAGTACTGGCTGCTCTGGCAGAGGACCTGAGTGCAGTTCACAGTAACCACATGGCAACTAACAACCATCCGTAACTCCAGTTCCAAGGGATCTGATGCCCTCTTCTTACCTCTGCATTGCATGACATGGGTGCAGTTACATACATGCAGGCAATACACTCATACACATAAGAAATAAAAATAATAAATAAAATATTTACTAATGAGTTTCTACAGATAACTAATGAAAATTCTTTGCCTTTTCTTTCTTAATTTCTACCTGGAATTAAAAAAAAAAACAAAAAACAAAAAACAGTGTTTGAACTAACATCACTTTTGTGTTTCACTTAAAAAAATACCATCTTTTTCCATCATTATTACATACATACCTATGGTGGTGCCTTGAGAATGAGCCATGTAATACACTTGTTCTTGGCCAGTCTTATTCAGAATGTAGTTAATTGAAGCAGGTAAGTCATAGTTTGCCATCTCATCAAAACTATAATCCAAAAAAGGACTTTAATTGAAATAGCACATAGGGTAGAGCTTAGAGTGGCACACAGACACTTAGTATGAGGCATGAGGTATTCACACTGAAGCAGCCATAAACCAGCACTGAACTTGGGACACTAGACTTTCTAGGAACACAGAAGTGTTCCTATATTCCCTTCCAGTGTACCTCCTGAAGGGAATGTCCCTAATTCTTCACACTATAAATTAGCATGATTCATTTTAGAAATTTTCTCTAAATGGAATGATACAACATATCTTCTTTCATACCTGGCTTTTTCCATGTTGATACATGAAATTATAGCCATTTAATCTCATTTTATTATGTAAATATCTCACACTTTAGTCATTATATTTACTGTTTACATGCAGTTGAGTATTCATTATTGCAAACAGTGTGACAATAAACTCATGCTGATAAGTGCCTTTTGGCAAAAGCTCTTATTCTTGTGATTCATGACCTTAGAGGGACTTTAGTTTTGTGAATGGGATGGAAGCCTGGAAGCATTCAGAATGCCTTTTCTAATACTCTAATACCTGATATACCAAGATATAGTCCTTA